TAATGGATTTTGAGTTTGGGTTGCCTCGTACACAAGGTGGTTATGATTCTATTTGGGTGATTTAGATTGGTTGACAAAGTTCGCACATTTATTAGCCGTGAAAACTACTTACAAGGAAAGTCATATTGCAAGGTTGTTTATTGCGGAAATTGTGAGACTTCATGGTGTTACCTCTAGCATTGTACCTGATAGAGATCTGGAGTTTACTTTAAGGTTTTGGAGAGCTTTTCAACAAGCCATGGAATCTAAGTTATGTTTGAGTATGTCGAATCATCCTCAAACAGATGGTCAGGCGAAACAGATGATACAAACTTTGGAATACATGTTAAGAGCTTGTGTCCTTAAAAGTGGAGGAAATTGGAATGAACTTTTACCGTTGATTGAGTTTTCATACAACAATAGTTACCACATGAGTATTGGTATGGCCTCTAACGAAACATTGTACGGAAGAAAATGTAGGGCACCTTTATGTTGGACGGAAGTGGGTGAAGAAAGTATTTTAGGACCAGAGGCTGTTCAAAAGACTACAAAAAAGATCTAAAATGATTTATGACAAGGTTAAGAAAGCACCGGGCCGTTAGAAGAGTTATGCGGATAACCGAAGGAGATCGTTGGAATTTGAAGAAGGTGACCATGTGTTTTTGAAAGTTACTCCAAGGTTGAGATTGGAAAGACCGTTTAAGTCACGAAAGTTAAGTTCGAGATACGTGGGACCATATCAGATCTTGGAGACAATTGGTGAAGTAGCTTACAAATTAGCCTTACCACCCTCTCTATCTGAGATGCATGATGTTTTTCACGTGTCTCAACTCCGGAAGTTTATTCCTAACCCTCTTTAGCTAATTCTTCCAGATACAATTGAGATAGAAGCATATTTGACTTTTGAACTACCAAACTGTATTGTAGGAAGAGAAACTAAGATGTTGAGAAACAAAGAAATTCCTTTTGTCAAGGTTCAGTGGGATACGACACATCCGAGTGATCCTACTTAGGAGCTTAAGTTTGAGATGCAAGATGCTTACCCTCACCTTTTTTATGTAATTTTTAAATTCGAGGACGAATTTTTTATTTAAGGGGGATAATGTAATACCCCGTATTTTCTAAAATGCTCTAAATAATATTATTTTAGATCAACTGGATTTCAATGTAATCTGAGAGTTATTTGTTGAGATAATTAGAGTAACTGATGAGCTCAGAGTTGAATTAATTAATATTATTTGACTCTAAGGTTTTATTAATTGATACAATAGAGACATTTTGGATACTCTTAAAATTGGACATTTACCAAGTTAGTCTTAACAACTTTTATTGAGATATTTCTAAATATCATTTTCTTTTATTTTCCTTATCATTCCAACTTTGTGGGACAAGTAGTAAAAAAGAAGGAAATTAAATAGAAAGAAGAATAGAGAGAAAGATAGTAAGAGTAGAAAGAGAGAAGAGAAAAGTGGAAAAGAGAAAGAAAACCCTAAGAAGAAGAACGAGAAGAAGAAGAAGAAGAAGCTCATCCATCACTCTTCATCATCTCATCTTCATAATTCCAACATCTTCATATTGTTTCTAGAGGTGGGTTCTAGGTAGATGCTTTAAGATTAGGGTTGATAGATAGAAATGGTAAGTGTTAGGTTTTGATATGTGTTGATTCTAATATCATGAAATCTATGTGAATATGATACTAACCATGTTTGTGTGTTGTTTTATGGTTGGAATTGCTATTGACATACACTACAAGAAAAAAGAGACTTACGACACTTGAGTTGCGACAGTTATCAAAAAATCGTCCTTATTTCAAGATTGTGACAGTTGTCATGACAGATAGGATCAACTGCCGTAGATTTTTTGCGACAGTTATCAAAAAACCGTCCTTATTCCTAGACTACGACAGTTCTCACGACGGTTTGAGCCAACCGTCGCAAATTTTTTAGACATGTTGTATAAAATAATGCGACACTTACCAAAGAACCGCCCTTTTTTCACACTCGCGACAGTTAAGGCGAACTGTCGCAATTACTTTAGCCAATCATAATCACTATTTTTTTATTCCTTTAATTTTCTACTTTTTTCTTCATTTTTATTTTCTAACCTTTTCAATTTTATTAATTAATTTAATAAATAATTATTATAATTTTCATGACAATATAATAATTATTATAATTTGAATAAATAAATTACTAAAAATATTTATAAAATATAATAATAATAATAATAAATTAAACTCAAAATACATAATTTTTTTAAAAACTACACTTTATTTTATTAAAATATTTGATGTATCAAAATTAAACTATAAAAATTAAAACACTATATATACTCAAAATAAAATTTTAATTTTAGAAACTATTTTTACAGAAAAAATTAATCTCAATATTATATCCAAAATTAAAGTATTAAAATTAAACTATATATCAAAAAATTAAACTCAAAACTATATATCTAAAATTTATGTATCACGACGGTGACCTTACCCGTCGTTCTCCCATTCCCTTCACAAAGGTCGCGAAAGTGATTTCAACCGTCAGCCCCCATAAAATCTTTTACGCTAAAATTATCCAAATATTTCTTATCAAAAATATTATTTTCTTCTAAACAATCAAAATGAAACTTCCTCATTCGTTTTCATTTTATCATAAAACTGTAATCTTTTTTCACTAACACAATTTTTTAATTCATATTACTAGACTAAAAAGTTAAAAAATAGAATATTTATACTAACACAAAGTTTTACTAAATATATAAACTGACTAACCTAAAATATGTGTATGATGAATATTTATAGAGATTAATATGTGTATGATGAATATTTATAGAGATTAATGAGTGACATTGTAAAATATTATTCCTTTATACTATTTTTTTAGTTAAAATAAAAGTCAAATAACTTTTGTATTCATACATGTCATAAGTTATCAAAACTTTTTGAAATCTTTTTTGACACAACTTTCTGAAAATTTTAAAACACAATAAAATATTTTGATTTTTTATAAAAAAATTCAAACAATAAAACACAAAATGGCGTGAAATGAAACCTAAACAAAATGACGAGGCTGCCCTTTATTCTTTCGGGTTGTGGATAACTTGAACTAGTAGTGTATGGTCAATTACAACGAAAAGATAGGGTGATCAAGAGTTAGCGAATGGAAGTAACAATAGTAAGGAGCTTCAGCAGCGGTTTCAGTTTCACTCCTTCTCTTCCACCGAGAAGTAGTTTTTATACAACATTTTCTAAAAAGAAAGATGTTCAAGACAACACTAACGAGTCTCAACCTTTTTCATCATTGAGGATTTCGAACTCAAATCTTGTTCGTGCTGCCATTGGAGTGTTTGGATTAGGGTTTATTGATGCAGGGTTAGTTAGTAATTAATTATCACTGTTCTTGTTAATTTCATTTTCATTTAGTTTGTAACGATTTTGATTCTTCGACCGAATGTTTCAGGTATAGTGGAGACTGGTCGAGGATTGGAGTAATTACGCAGCAGAATGAGGAATTTCTAAGGCTTGCAGCTTTTCTAGTGGTTCCTATTTGTGTCCTTTTTGTTTTTAGGGTTCCCAAAGAACCTGATTATTGAGCTTTTCAAATACTATATTTAAAATTGTGAGTATGCAAAATTCAATTACGAATTTACACTATTCCAGGTAAAGAAAATGATCAAAAGTTTGAAGGATTAAGACAGTAGTTTGTAACTATTGGTGAGTGACCAATCAATTAAGACCGAAGTTTGAAGAGGTTTACTAATATTCTGCTATTAAATTAGCCCCTTAAATTATTGAAGTATGATTGTTTTGTTTAGCAAGATGATATGGGATATATTATGCTGATAAAAGAATTACTTTTTTAGAAAAATAGTTACCTGCTACATTTTTTGATATCTCATTTCTATGAGGTTCAACTTCCGGTCATAATTGTATGTGTTCGATAATGTTGTTTTTAATGTATCTTTTTAGTGTATATGATAATCTACCTTTTTAGTTACTAAACCACATTGAATTGATTATGATGCTTTAGTTGGTCTGGCGCAAATGGATCATAAGTTTCAGAAAAGAGTATGCTGTCAAGTGGAGATTGACATCCATATAATGGGAGTTGTGCCGGCGATACATTTAGACTAAGGTGTGGTTGGAAGGGAAGAGATTTGTGGCTATTGGCAGGAAATTCCGAAGTAGGTTATGGTATGTGGTTCTGTTTTTCTCTTGGTGGATTTCTGATCAGTTGACAGTGGTTTTAGTGGTATGAGCTTTAACCTTAATCCTAAGGGGTTGATCTTGGCGCTTTTCCTTGGTTTTTTTGTATTGGTTTTTTGATCTTGATGCTTTTCCCTAATTTTAAGTTTAATTTTTGGAAAATGGGAACTTGTTGGTGAAGTTGTTTATTACAAGTATAAATGAACTAGGTAGGTATCAATAATCAGTGAAGGGGTGTGCAGTTGCTTGGGTTTTGGGACGAGTAAACATTATAATTAGAATGTATTTGGAAAACTATCACAGTTTTTGAAGTTTTAAATGTAACTACTACTAGAAGGCTAATTGATAGGAATCCGGAATTAAGAGAGATAATGAGATTGTATTATTGATTGAAAAAAGGAAACTGTTAGAGAACACCACAAAGGCTTACATGAAAGATGACTGACACCCGCAACGTGCGTCAGAAGGGCTTGCAATGGCGACTTCACTTGCTCGAAGAGTTGGTAGAATTTTTTATTAATTCGTATTTTCATAAAAAAAAATAGTAATCTGTTCATGAAGTTCATTCAGTTGCACCACATTTATTGCACTAATTAGTTACAGGTCCAAGTTCAATTTTTTTATGACAGAAAATGTTGTGTTGCAGAACAATTCTTACTCATTGTCACAATCATGCTAAATAGATAAAAGTGTTCATGAAGAAATTACAAAGTTCCAAATAAAAGTGTTCTGTTCTATCTAACTATGGAACTCACTACAACGATTTGAGTATTTTGCTGTCGAGTAACAGCAACCTTTATCATGCAATGACATTCTATCACTAATAATTTGCAGAAGCCATAAAATTTGTGTGTGCTGTGAGTAGAATCGAATAGAGGATTTCATTCCAAGAGTCTGGAATTCCAGGAAGGCACCAATGGCTGCAATCTTGAACCATTCTTTGGCCTTTGTTTTCGTAGAAACCCGGTTCTCTATATATCGAAGGATGTCCATCTTTTCTGTAATCAGTCATTTTGGTAATGTTGAGGTATAACACCGGTGTCTTCATTTCTGCGATAACATCTTCAACAATTCCCATTGTCCATGGATATGCTGCAAGATAGCTCTCGTTTGTTATAGGCCGTCTCTCGCCGTCACATTTACCTCCAGAGTTCCATTGCCCCCCTCTGCAAAATCATATAGAGACTGTTAAGTAATTAAGTACTCGTGAGACTGTTTAAAAGAGCTTATAAAAAAAGTTCAAGACGTGTCCATAAGTTGTTTTTAGCTTATTTTAATTAGTCTACCTGTAGTGAGAAGCTGAAAATCCTGTGAAAAAAACCCTTGTACGTGTGCTGTCAACGGTTGAATCAACCCACTTAGCCCATGTTTTCAATGCTTTTTTTAGCGCTTCAGAAACTTCTAATCTTTCATAGACATGATCACCTTCTTGAAAATAATTTTTACTGCAAAAATGAAAACCGATACTAATTAGCTTCTGAAGAACTTCTTAATAATATGAAAATATTGTACTATGGTGTGACATTTTGGAGCTACAGAAGTGTATTCCAACTCCAAGCAGAACTGCTATGTTACCCATTTTTGGTCTTGTCATGATTCCACCAATGTCCTGTGTTGAAAATGATTATATCAGCATTATAATACTGAGACTTAGAAGCTTGAATCATGTCAAGCCTAAGTGTATCTCTTGAAGGAACTCTGTCGTTACGCAACACTTTCCATTCTTGAACAAGATATGGTGATTTCACAAAATCTATAGAGCATCCATAATCCTAATTAACATAAGAAAAAAAAAACAGAATATCAGACACTAAGATTTCTTATTAGAAACATACAACTATAGCACATTTTTTTGAACTTACTTTGAATTTGAAAGAAAAGAAACCTTGAATCCTGAATTCGCGGCGTCCTGAAACTTCATAGATTCTGCTCTTATCTTTAAGAGAAGCTCTCAAAGCACAAACCAAAGATTGCCACATGTTTCTGTTCAAGGAGTCTCCTACAAACACCACTCTTTTACCTCTTAGTATGTGCAACATTTTCAACCCATCGAACCTATATGCATACATTCATGAAAAAATTCAAATTTACACACGAATAAGAAATAAATTAAGGACTAAGAAGTTAGAAATTATAGAACCTTGGAATTTGACATCCATGTGGCTTCCAACGATATTTAAGAAACTCGTAATCTGAACGTCCATTCTTGAAGCAGTTAAATGCATCATCAAGAGAAGGACATGACCCTTGTTGATAAATAGGTTCATGAGAATCATCTTGAATCCAAGAACCGTCAAAGATATCGCATGAATTGAGGTCTTGTGAGTCTCTGTTTGTTAAGCTTCCTCGCATTCTTTCTGCTGCTGTAACAGAAGAGAATGTGTTGCTCTGCGATTCTGAAACGGTATGGGAAGTAAATGGTGCATGTGCCAACACGCGGCTCAAAGAAAATGGAAATCGAGGAGACGGAATGTTAGTAGTGTTGTTTTCATGGGTTGAGTTGGTAGTGTATGATGCTGAGAGGAGAAAGAGGGAGAGAAGGAAAAAAGGGACTGTTAAAATGTGAGTTCTTGGACGTAACAGAGGGTGTTGAAGAGTTCTTTGAAGTTCTGATGAATTCAGCAACGGTTTCTTGAGGCACGCCATGAGAATTTTCAAAGATATACATGTGGAAAATTTGAATATAATAGTAGAGGAGCAACTTATATACTTTTGTATTGTATTAATGAGACTAATTAGAACCTAAAGTCTAACATTATTTTACAACTTTCACAAAGACCTTTTGTAGCAATTAAGGAGTATTAAGGTAGGATCCAAACTGCATTACAGAATAAAAACAATGAACTACTTTCAGGAACAGCTAATAGCTTTTATTGTTAATTATTATAGAACAATACTGCCTACTGATTATCACAATCTCAATAACACATGTCACATATAATATAGCAAGAGCTCTTATCTTTTATCGACATTATCACTCTTAATTGATTACAGCTTGCTAATCTTATTCTTGATAGGCCCCATCTCCTTTGCCTTGGCCCTCAGCACATGCTTCTGAACCTTCCCGGTGGCTGTCTTAGGCAACGGTCCGAATACAATCGATTTTGGGACCCAATAAGCAGGTATCTTTGATCTGCAGAACTTCAGTATATCTTCAACTAGACGCTGCTCGTTACTACTATCCACTCCGGGCTTCAATGTAACAAATGCACATGGAGACTCGCCCCATTTCTCATCTGGCCTTGCAACCACTGCTGTCTCCAGTATTGCAGGATGCGAGTAAAGAGCGTTCTCTACCTCTACACTGCTTATGTTTTCAGCGCCCGATATGATGATATCCTTTGATCTGTCTTTAATTTCTATATATCCATCCGGGTGCTTTACAGCAAGATCACCGGAATGATACCATCCATTTGCAAAGCTTTCTTCATTCGCTTTAGGATTTTTTAAGTAGCCCTTCATCACGGCATTACCACGCATCACAATCTCACCAACAGTTTTACCATCCGCAGGAACAGGTTGCGTGGTTTTTGTGTCGACGACATCCAGGCCTTCCAAGGCAATGTACCGAACCCCTTGTCTTGAATGGAGCCGGGCTTGGGATTCCGGGGGAAGTGAGTCCCACTCTGGTTTCCAGGCACAATAGACGGACGGGCCAAAGGTTTCTGAAAGACCATAAGTGTGTGTGACACGAAATCCTATTTTATGCATGCCTGAAAGAACAGAAGGAGGAGGAGCAGCACCGGCAGTATTCGCATGTACAACATGAGGTAGAGGAAGTATAGTTTCCTCAGCTGGAGCATTAACGATCGAGTTAAGCACCACAGGTGCTGCACAAAAATGAGTCACTTTGTACTTGGCAATGGCTTCATATACTGCCTTCGCTGATACCTGCATAAACGCGTCAAAGCTTAACTAGTGTCAAAGTAAACAAGTAAATAACTCTCAACAAAGTAGATATTGATATTAGTTAACAAAATAGCATATTATCACTAATTAACCAACTACAAACTACGAAAAGATGGCAGCATTTAAAATCCTGGTCAAAAGTATCACAATTTTATGTTTGAATCAGGCTACAATTTGTTCTAAAACAACCCTAAATCATGTGTTCATGTTCATGAGACATTTGCATTAGAATCAATGATAGCATCAAACTTGAAGTTAAAATTAGAAACTATAAGCAAGACTTGTACAGAAAACCAAACCAAACCCATCAGACATTAACATTAGCTTTACCTGGCGGAGGCATATGTTTGTGCCAAAGATAGCTGGAAGTGTCCAAGTGTAGCACCAGCCATTGCAATGAAACATGGGTAGAGTCCAAAGATATACAGCTCCTTCATTCATTCCCCAAATAAGCGCACCACTAAGAGCCATCAGATACGCTCCACGGTGATGCAAAACCACACCCTTAGGACTAGCCGTCGTCCCAGACGTGTAACCCAAAGCAATGCTCTGCCACTCATCCTCCGGCGGTTTCCAATCGTACTCAGGGTCACCACTTTGAAGAAAGTCCTCATACTCAACAACTCCTTTGCTCAACGCATATCTAAGCGACTCAGGATCGCAGTTTTCATCTCCAATGACAATCAAAATCGGAGACTTGAACGTCTCAGATTTCTCAGACCATATTTTCAAAGCTTCTTCCGCCAACGAAAAGAACTCTTGATCCACAATTACAACTGACGCAGTGCAATGACCAAGAAGAAAAGCAATAGTGGCTGCATTTAGCCTTATATTCACCGGATTCAACACCGCCCCTGCCATCGGAATCCCAAAATGAGCTTCATAGAGAGCTGGAATATTTGGTGCAATAACAGCTACCTGTTGTTACATTACCATAAAAATAAAAAAAAAAGGTTACACATCACTACTATTCAGCACTTGCCCAAAAAAAAAAAAAAATTAAAAAAAAAAAAATCTAAAAATTGCAAACTGAATTAGAGTGAAACATCACACTCCATACTCCAAACATCATTAAACAATGTTGATATTGTTATGATTAACCTACTACACACATAATAAACAAATAAATAAATAAATAACATCAGAAAACAATTCAAAACTATTTTTTTGTAACAATTCAAAACTATATATATTCATACAAAAGATCATCATCATCCATCGGCACCTTTTAATTGATAGCAATCAGCTAAAGTCAAATGAAGCTTAGCGAATAAACAAAAAGTCAAATTAAGATTAGCGAATAAACAAAAAGTCAAATTAAGATTAGCGATTGAAAAAGAAAAAAGTGGAGAAAAGTGGTTACAGTGTTTCCGAGACCGATGGAGAGTTTGGAAAGAGCGGAGGCGAATCGACGGCAACGTTGGTAAGTCTGGTGCCAGGTGTAGTGACGGGATCCGTGGATAACTGATTTTCTGGTAGGGTGAACTTGAGCTGCTCGCTGTAGGAACCATAACGGCGTTAAAGCGGTGTAGTTCGCGGCGTTCTTTGGTAAATCGTCTATATCCAGTTTCGTAACCATGGCTACTACTCTCTCAGGTTCCTATTATGTGTGAAGAAACAGTGAGAGTTTGGTGTTTATTTAATACCATCATCCTCCTGTTGAAAAATTTGTCTCTTTCTGATAACGATGAACAAATTACACGTGCCATCTATTAAATGTTTTCTCCATTTTAAAATAAAATGACTGATTATTCAATGTATCTCATATATTATATTCCTTCAATTTCAAAATAGCAACTTTTTTAACTTTCTCTTAAAATGAAAGTTTTCTTTTTATGTTTTGAATGTAATATTTATTAATTTTTTATTAACTTTATTCTTAAGAAATATTCTCTACACAACTTTTAAGATATTATATTATAAGTTGAATATTTTTTTTGGACATCTACTTATAGTTAGGAGTCTATTTTGATCTTCTTTCTTTTAAAAGTTTTAAGTTGATCTTTTACGTTGTTTAACAGAATCAACGTGGTTCTTTCTGTCAAAAAATGGCTAATGGTGCTAAGTTAGATGACGTGGAAGTTAAGGTGGACGGATGGATTGTCTATTCATCACCTTCTTCTTCCTTGTTGCCGAAACATTTTTCTATTATCTCCTAAATTCAACCCCTAATGGAATTTTTTTTCCTAAAATCCCCTAATTGAAACCTAAATCATCATCTAATTATGAGTTCTATGTGCGGTTCGTCGTAATCATCTAAAAATCGAAGTGAATCGCATGTCTTTAGCATCTCAAATCTTCCATGGAAATCTTTATGTCGTTGTGGAGACAATGTTATACTTCGTAAGTAAGAACTGTCAACAATTATGAAAAACTTTTTTAGAGTTGTCAGCATTTTAAAGTAAGGTTTAGTCTGAATAAGATAAGTTGAATGTTGTTGAAATGTCTATGTAATTCATTGCAGTTTGCGTTCTCAATCTTTACAGGGATATAGCAATGCTAGTTGTGAATTTCTTGGATGGTTCTATGAAGAAGTTAGAGGTGAAATGGAGCAAACCTTGATGAAGAATCAATGGAAGATAGATGTGCTTAGTCAAGAGATGGAAGAAGGCAAAAAAGAGGTTGAAGTTTTGAGGCTCAATAATATGAAATTAGAGGATGCTTTGAAGAACACCATCAAGTGGAAGAAGATCTGGAAGTTTATGTTCTATGTTGTTTTATTTGTTTTAGTAATCAAATTGTTATAAAAGAATTCAAGTTGTTGTCAGAGGTTGAAGTATTATTTTCTTTGTTTTAGTGTTTAAGTTATAGTAAAACTTGCATTATTCAAAGTTGCCAAGTTAGTTGTGTACTTTTGTTACATGATTTAATTGGACAAGTTAAAGTTCCATTGTAGTAAAATTTGTGTTCTGTTGTTATAAGATTTAGTTAGAAAAGTTAAATGACAGAATTTTGGTATAACAGAAATTTGATCAACATAAACCTTGTTCAAATTTGAGAACATAACATAAACCTTGTTCAAAATACCATAACATGACATTATTACAGACACTTGTTCAAAATAACATAAATATAGTTCAAATGGAACATAACATAAACCTTGTTCAAAATAACATAACATGACATTGTTACAGACACTTGATACCAGCATAAGTTGTCACAGACACTTCAAAACAACATAACAAAAACATCTCAAAACAATATAACATGAACCATGTTCTTAAAACAGAAACTAAATAAATCTAAATGGGCCCTTGTTGTTGCCCTTGGTTGACTTCCTTCAGTTGGAGTTTCTGTTTCCCTTGCCTGATTTGCTTGAGTTAGTGTGAGTGTTTTCCTTGGATGAGTTCCTTTTGTTGGTGGCTACGTCCCTTACAAGTGGATTTATTGTGTCCAGTCTGTCTGCACCTTGTACACCTAAGTATCATGCCAGTTTTTCTCATTTTTCTATCTGACCCATCAATTTCACCCTGCTCACGGTTCCTCCTCTTCTCCAGTCTTCCTGGGTACTCTGTTCTGAGCCATAAATTTGTTCCATTAATAGGATAAATGATAGGTTCATAAATAGAAATATACCTTGCCTTCTTATAACACTTTGGGATGTAATCATCAACATTTAGATTTCTACTCTTCATTGCAGACAGAGCATGAACACAAAGTAGACCAGTCAATTGCCATTTTCTGCATGAACAATCATGTTCCTTCAAATTAACAGTAAAAATATCACCTTGATTCTCAATGTGTCTTACTTCAAATATAAACTCAGATGAGACATCCTACAAAGTAGTATAAAAAGTCACATAAAGTATAAAAACTAAAGAAATTAAGAAATAATTTGTATTAAAGCAGTTTTTGTACCTTACTATCCAATAATTTGTGCAACTGCTTGTTTTCTTAACTTTCCTCCTGATATTTGGCAAAACATCCCCATCATTTAATTGTGAGAATTTCACCCTATTTGCTGCCCACCTTTCCATGATGTATCCTCTAATTTCTTCTAGCATGGTCACTAATGGCTTTGCTCTTGACTCTACAATTACACTATTGAATGCCTTTGACATGATATTCAATACAGAGTCACACTTTAAAGTTGTCCTAAAATATGATTTGCTCCAATATTTGGGTGAAGTCTGCATCGTGTGCTTGTAAGCCTCTTCATGTATCTGTCTCATACCTCTCATCTCCCTTTACCATGCTTGTGGGTAAGTAGCCCTAGCAGCCTTCCAAATTATCTCTTTCAACATTTTTCCTAGATACTTCTTCCGAAAATTATTGTATAAGTGTCTTACACAAAATCTTTGTTCAACATTGGGTAGTAATTCATCCATTGCAGAAAGAAGACCCTGCAAAATTAAACTAAATGATGGTGACTACATAGATTTACTAGACACATCATAATCTAACAGAAAATGTAAAAAAAATAGAGTGGTACCTTTTGTTGATCAGAAATGAATGTATATGTTCTACATTCTTCCCTACCACCTAGATCATCAATGAGGAGTTCCAAGAACCACGACCAACTGTTTTTAGTTTCCCCTTCCACTACAGAAAAAGTTATAGGTAACATCTGGTCATTAGGATCTGTACCAATAGCTGCCAAAATTTGATCTTCACAAAGCCCCTTTAAGAAGCATCCATTAAGACCAATAATAGGCCTACACAACTTGAAACTCTTTTTGCAAGCAGCATAGCAAATATATAGCCTCTTGAAATAAGGCCTTATATCCTCAATACTTTCTTGGACTGGTGTGACATTTAACTTGACAGTTGAACCAGGATTTGTCCTTAGAATTTCATGACAATAATCATATATCCTTGTGTAATCCCCTAAAAATGAGCCATCAATCATATCCCTAGCTGCAAATCTGGCTCTAATTGCCTTTATCTTATTAACCCCCACATTCCATTTCTTTTGAGCCTTTTCCTTTATATCCTTTAGCTTCAGCTTAGGATTATTTTTCAATGAATTTTATAACCTCTTGCTAAGCCATTTTGTACTCATCGTCTTTATATTATATTCCCTGGAGCAATTGTGGTTATCAATTATTTTCCTTAGTTATCAAGTCTCCTCATTAGGAAACTTTTCACAATATGCCTCCCACTGGCAGCCTTCTTTACACACCATGTTCACTCTCTTTTTGTCATTTTTCAAAAACTTAAGACCTCTACCAGATTGGACAACATACGTTTGAATAGCTTCCTTAAAGCCACTTTTTGAGTTAAAATAAGTTCTCAACTCCCATTTATAACGAGCCATATCTTTCAATAACTTAAAAATGGGATACTTCTTCTTCCTTGGTTCATCACTCTCCTCACCATTGTCATACCCTAAATTTGCCCGCCTTTTTTTGATCAAAAGCATTGGTACAAGTCATCAGGAGCGTGAGAAAAAGAAAGGAGAAGCCTTTTGAGTATCTCAAAAGTCATAATGGGGTTGGAATGATCATCCAGTTCATCTGCACAGTATCCAAGCAAAAAGGGGAAATTAGGGTTTTTCGCACGGCTAAAAGTCGAGGTTTCAATGGTTTGATCAGTCGACGTCTTGATTTGATTTCCAATGAAATAGGGTCAAGGATGCTACATTGCTTCAAATATGGATTCAATTTGAGGTTGGCACCCAAATATTGAAGACAATGCAGCTCAGGCCCGATTAGGGTTTTTCGATTAGGAAAAGTCAACTGTAGTTTGAATTTTGATATGAACGGTGTTCTAATGATGCAATATTGATTCATAAGGTTTATATGGCTTAGTGAAGTCCATTCAAGAAGATTCAAAGCCTCAAGACACCCGGATCGTCAACAGTCGACTCGGTAGTCACCGATCGATCGAACGGTTGACCGAAAAGTCAAACTCTCCAACCATAAGGAATTTGACTTCAAGATGTGAATAAAAAATGTTCCTTATGTCATATTACACCTCCCCATAAAATTTCATGGCCATTGGATCAAGGGTTAGGAAGTAATTGCAAAAATCGGGAATTAGGGTTTTGAAAAGGGCAAGACCATAACTCCTCAACCACACATCCAAATGAAGTGGTTCAAAGCTCATTGGAAAGCTCTTGACAAATACTACAAAATCCTCAAAGTGGTCCATGATCAAAAAATGCATAGAATTGGAGTTATGACAAGATTCATTTTAAGAAGGGAAATAACTTAGAGAAATTCTAAGTTATTTAGCCTTTTTAAGTGGTTTTTTCAGCAACTTGGAAGGGTTTTTCAACCTAGTTCCATTAAGAATTTGGAAATCCCCAAAACATAAAAGTTGTAGAGCTACTTAAGGGATTTCTAAATTATGGTAGAACTCCTCCATAGCCCTTATGAGCTGAGAGTTATGAATTTGGCAAGATGGGCTTTTAACACTTGAGTCCCACATTGACAATTCTTCACAAACTCAAATTTTAACAACTTGGGCCATCCCCAACCATTGGATCATGTTTTAATCTGATAACTTGAGGCCTAGATGAATAGAAAACCAGAAGAAAGAAGGAATTGATAGACTTGGCAACTTGGAGGCAAGTTGACAATATAATATTCATAAAATGGAAAGAGAAACTTTTGCCACTTGTACTTGCAGCTGCAG